CACAGGAGGGTACAGAAAATAAACACAAAAAGCTCATTTTTTTGATTCAATAATTTCTAGAGCTCCATCTCTGAAGAATTCAAGATATTAAAACTCTTCAAATAGTCAAGAAATTACAGCATTTCTGAATAATTTGGAATACTTTACCACTGTGTTAAATAGTAGGTGTTCTTTAGGACAATACAGTCTGGTTGAACAGTGAGCTGTGTAAGATGGGTTATCTGGGGGCATATCCTTATTCATAAAGAGGTGTTACATTTGCTGCTCATATTCTTTGTTCAAGTGAGCTATAGCAGTACTTTACTCAAAAGGTATTCCTTGAAGTGTCTACAAAATTATCCACCATTTTCACTAGGACAGCACAGGCTAGAACTGCCAGTGAATAGAGAAAACACACCTTCAAGCAGAGAAGGCATGGGCAAAATGTACTAATTAATGAAGTTAACAGAAAGCAGCTTTAGAGACTTTGATTTTTATATACTTTCAGAATGGCCAATGTGAAAAACAAGCACCACTGCTTCTCCCTCTTCCAATATAGCAATACAAAATTACAGTTTTAGAAGCATATGGGATGTTACCACACTTCTTACTATAATTACAGAGATTTTTCTACCATGCTGAGACCATAAACCATTCTTACCAAGTTCCCCCTGAAATTTCACTTTTAGGTTGCTGAGAATAACAGGACACATTCAGGAAATGTTTAGTTTCATTCATCAAAATGTATGTGAAATCACTTCATCTACCAAAAACCAAATCAAAATTGCAAACAGAATTGAAAACTATTTTTCATTAGACCTAAGTGGTATACAACTAGAACTTAAACAGTTATGTCTTCATGGATAATGTTTTTGAATGGTACCAAACTCCATTAGTTCTAATAGTCAATAGCTAATTAATTAAAAAGTTATTTTTTCTCACATCCTAATACAATCTACCACAACTTTCTGTTTAACCTCTACATTCAATTAAGGCATGTGACCCGTAGCACAGCTCTACCAGAAAAGATTGGGCTGTCAGCAGATGAGAATGTAGCTACAAATACTGCACAGATATTTGGACTTAAGGCTAAGCTACCAAGTTGATATTCCAAACTTTGCTGGCATCTGATTAAATAACCATTTCTCATCCTACCATCCAAATTAAAGTGAAGAATGGGGTGAACACAAGCCAATACATATTCCATGCTCAGCACTGAATTTTCCTTTGTTTTATGAGTTTTGAGTCATTTTACGCTTAAAAATAGCCAATTGAATTCCTTTTTTTCTTAAATCTAGGCTAAATTAACAAAGACACTCCTTTCTAGGCCCAAGAATGTGCCACGCAAGGGAATTTTCTACAATAAGTTTGCTTGCTTGAGTTTATTTTCAGTGGGATGCTTAAATATCTCAGCTTTAAAAGTGTAAATAACATATCCCCTTTCTCAATAACTGGGGGACACTTTTTTTTTTTTTAATGAACAGAGAAGTTTTTTTTTTTTTTTTTTCAGCACTAGCTCAATACAACAAAGATAATGCAAACTACAGCCTCAGAGGGGAGGGGAAGGAGATGCTGGGGACTCTCTTTCAGAGATCTCTGTTAACTACCTAAGTCTAGCTTCTGTGGTATAAGAGAGTGGTGCACCCTAGATATGGGTGCCGATGGAAGAGCTCACAATTACAGGGAGAAGATAGCCAGGGAAAAGGTCACTGGGCCCCTGCATGTTCCTTGAGATATAGATAGGTCTGAATGCCCTGATCCTGGATGCATTTAGTCTGAGGGATGTATGTATGTACATACATACAAGCTGGCTGTGCAGTGGGTGGGCAGAGTTGAAAAGAGCTTTTCTAGAATTCAACAGAATAGTAAAGCTTCCTCACTTAAATCAGAGGACATGGCAGAGGGATCACAAAAGCAGAATTTGTGAACAGTCAAGTTAGTTCTGTTTTAGCCTACTTTCCCCTAACCAGTATCTTATAAGGGTTCTATACATTCAAGGTATGGATGGGATTCAAGATTCTTATGAAATTCTTCTATAAAATCAACGCCTTAGGAATTCATAAGTAAAATTAACACTCTTGTTGTCAAGATGGTCATAGTTACTAAAAAAGAAATCTAAAGATGAGTGTGGTGTTTTTCTTTTTTTTAATATTTATTTTTTAGAAGCAGTTGAATACAATATCTTTATTTTATTTATTTTTGTGTGGTGCTGAGGATTGAACCCAGGTCTTCACACATGCTAGACAGGCGCCCTACAGCTAAGCCACAACCCCAGCCCTGAGCCTGGTGTTTTTCATTAGCTCAGACACCTCTCTTTCCTTATTCAGGTCACAAATTATTACTGAGGTATTTGTACCACCCTTGTATATATTTTCAGAGTCCTCTAGGAAGGCCTAGGGAGTTTATTATAATGGAATATTAGATCATCATGGGTCACCATGAGGACTTAATTCAGTTTGCACATATGCTTATATCTCTGAAGGAACATGACCCTGCACTCACACTCTTCATCTTGGTTCTCCTTTCTGTTACATTTGATTACTATTTCTATACTTTGATTTTGTTGGATTCAGACTCTACTGAATGACTGGAACTTTAAGATCTACTCCAACCCAGACAACTGATAATCCTGTATCCTAGTATCACATTATTGTAACCTTAGTTATGGCCATATAGAATGTGTATATATATTTTAGATATCTCAAATGTCTAAAGCAGTGGTTCTAGGAAATTTTTTTAAAAAAATACAAAAGCCTAGATTTATATATTCAGTTTTAATTATCATAGGGTTGGTCCCCAATTCTAAATGCATCCCAGGAACTCTGATGTGCAGCTAGGATTGAAAACTATTTTGTATACATTTAAGTCTTGTTTCTTTGACAAAAGAATCTAGAATCCCAAAGCCAAAAATTTCTTAAAGCCACAGAGAGTAGTAAATTGGCAAGATGCTTCTAAAGTGAACAAGGGCATGGCACACCAGGTTTCCTATATAGCTGATGTTAGCAATGTGGGCAAAAGAATAACTTGTGATATGGAATTATAGGAAGCTTGAAGTTATGACCCTTTCTCTTTAAATTCTAGAGAACTTCAAGTCATTGTCACCACCTGCCACATTTCCATACATTTCAAAATTTTCCATAGGTAGCTGAGAACCACTACCTGCCTGGAGGTGTCTGGTTCTAAATGCCATAAACATTCCAGAAAAAATTCAGCCTCCAAATGTTTACTTTCTGTTCCTTTAAATAGGTACCTGGAGACTTATTTTTAAAAAAACACCAGATTTTGGTTATTAAGGAGGTTATTATCCTTGAGATGCAACTATAAAAATTAAACACTTGAATATTAAGAGTTTAATCAAACTGAACTTATCTCATTTAATTTCTTTTTAAACTCTTAGACCTTTGAATCTCTAGGATGAAAAGCCAGAAGTATGAATTGTTAGGTTCCAACTGTCGATTAACCACTCTTCAATTCCAATCTTTCTTTTTCATATCCCCCCAAATCAAACCAAACCAAACCAAACCTAAAATAAAATAAAACACAAAGCAAAAAAAAAAAAATCCTCTAAACTAAGACAAATGGTATGGAAAGTAGAATAGGTATTTTAAATTGAACTTTCAGACAGTTGTTGGTTTTTAAAAAAGTTAACAKTGAAAGGGAAATAGATCTCTCTGGGGAGGAGGCTATAAATGAAATCACAGTCTTTTGTAAGTTAAATTCCTGGGATTCAAATGGTCATTACCAATATCCTGTGGCAGAGCAAAGTTTTTCCATACATTATTCTCTTTGTGGATGCCAAGACTCTTCACTTTATCTTAGATTTTCACATCCACTAACCACCCATGAGTATTTACATGTATATACCTTCAACAAGTGCTGGAATTTCTGAATCTTGAGTGGCACTGGTGCATTCCAGGTTTCCACTGGGTAAGCTACCAAAAAGATGGACCAAATAGGAACTTGGGATACACACAGTGTACCAGTCTACTTCAGGTATGAGGAGACAGGGGGATACTCAGATTCCCCAAAGTAAGTTTGTATGTAGAGAGCAACTCCCACTGGAACTATGCTTCTGGCCTTGAATTGTGGTTTAATGGAATTCTAGAGAATGTATTTTTTTCCGTGCTTGAAATATTTCACATACCATATTTCTAGCATATTTCCTACTCTGAAGGCAGTTCTATGTGGCAATCTGTTATAAAGGATAAGACTCCAGGCAATAAGCTCAATTAGTAATATGTGGCTCCAGGTATAGTAAGTTAAGGCAGACACATTGGCTTGGTGAGAAACTGATCAAATATAACAGGATGGGGAGAATTATTCTCTTCATGAACTAAGTCCTAAAACACCTTCATGCTTTCAAACACATCTCTCCAGACAGAACATGTCAGCTTTACAATGCATTACTTAGTTTCCATGAGGGTCACATTTTATTTATTCACCATATTTTTCACAGATATTTATTGCAGGTCGAAATTATCTTGTCATTCTGATGCAACTCACAATGTATTTTATTAACCTATAATTTATAGAAGTGACTATAAAATCTAATAAATGATTATAAAACCTATAATTTATAGAAATCACTATAAAATCTATTATAAAATACTTTATAAATCGGCATGATTTTTGGAACAAAATCCAACTTATGAATGTTCAGCTTTGAATTATCATGATAGTCAACTACTAAGAGATTATCTTGTCAATTACCTGTCAATAATTATCTGTACAAATATAAAGAGCAAAAATCAAGATGTAAAAGAATGAAGCAAAAACTAAGATGACTGACACCCCCCAAAAAGTCAAATTTACTTTCTTACCTGAAATATTTTGTGTTTGGCCTTCTTATTGAATTGGGAAGAGGTAAGATGAGCTGTGTCTTTTTACAGAAATAAGCAGTCTTCAGTGTTTTTACAGCATTGGTTACTACAGAAACTAGACTTCTTTTACTTCTTGTCTTGAAGGATGAACAAAATAAAACAAACTGAAAATACTACAATGAATGGTAAATGATGAAAGATTTACAGTACAAAAAACAGTGTAAAAAGGAAGACAAGTTTAAATATTGTTGTGTAAGACAGCGATGAAAATAATACAAGAATGAGAATAAGTAAAATGATAGGCTGGAACATCTGGGAAGGTAAATGCAAAGACAAAGAGAAGAGTTAATTAATAATAATTTTAAAAACTTTCATTCATATTAACTAATTAAGGAATTCATTCAACTTAAAATAAGGAATTCTCCCATAAACCTATATTTACAAAATCTAAAGCCATAATTATACACAATGCTTTTTCTTGATTTACTTCTACTTTTTTCTAAGGATATAATGGGGAAAAAAAATCACATGCTCTCAATACTAAAAATCTACAACAAGGAAACTAAAAACTAAGTATTTGATAAAATAAATAGAAAAAAAAGTAAGCTTTAACTTTTCAAAATCCAACAAATTTCATCATAAAACATTTTTTTTCTTTCATGGCAAAGCACAGCAACATGCAAGATAAATAAGCAATGGGGTTGAAATTAGCTAGCTGCAACTAACAGGCAGTTAATCTCTGTCATGCTTATGTGCGTAAACTAATTTTTAAATATAAAATGTCTTGCGGTCTAAAAAGCCATGCATGCTGTTGTTCTTCCATGGGTTCTCCAGTGGATACAGGACACTGGGCTTGCCATAGGGGACAGCACTACCTTTTTTGTTTCACAAATTTTCTTTTATGTGGTTAACTTTGACAAAATGCATTGGTCTTTCAGTGGCCACCATACCTGGCCAAAGCAGCTCAGTCCAATTCATCCGGTGTGCCTCTACAAATCAGGATGGAGGAAAAATGCTGGTTTTCCCTGTTCTGGAATAGTTGTTACTATTTTTCTGAGTTAGTTTTGCCTTAAAGCTATGGTGTAATACAACCGTATTGGTCCTGGGATTCTCCATTATAGAACTGGCAATGATTGTCTCTAGAAATAATCATGTAACATCAACTGATAGTACAGGGGTGGCATCTATTTGTCCCTTTTGGTAGGTCTCTAGGCCAAGATGGGTCTCCTTACCACTGGTAGTTCTCCATCAATTGTTTTTGTTCAGAAACTTTTTTTAAAAAAATCTTAAACTCAATTTGAAACTTGACTCAAAAACCTGAAATTGACATTTGAAGATTCCTATTGAGGATCTTCTTGTCACACAGTAAAGTAATATTGAAAAATGCTGACCTTCTAAAATAATATATATTAAAAATCCTTGAATCTTTACCCCAAAACTTGAGTGTGATGGTGTTAAAATTTTCCTTTAAATGAAACAGGGGAAAGAGTTACCAAGTTGATTGGGATACAGAAATCTCAGGCCTGAATCAGGAGCACAGTGTGAAAAAAGAAGAGGCCCGTGGGCCATCAAACCCATTAGACTCTGAGCTAGGACTTCCTTAAGGTGGGGTCTGGTGTTCAGGCCGTGGAGACCACCCACGAGGGACCACAGCTCCAAGGGCCAGCCTTGCCATCGCCATGGCTCGCAATAGGCAGAACTGTACCTGACTCACGGATATGGGCTCCTCGGCGCCAAGGTCGTCCGCGGACTTGGGCACCTCCAGGCGGTCGATGAAGGTCTGCAGCTCCTTGCGAAAGGCCTTCATCTGCGCGTTGATGCGGTAGAGCAGCTCATGCTCCCGGATGCGGCTGCCGTCGTCCTCCTCATCCATCAGTCCGAACAGGTCCCCGTTGGTCACATAGATGCGCGCCTCGGTGATGATGGTGCTTGTGTCGGCGATGAGCCGGTCGATGGTCTTGCCCAGGCGTTCGGCCTCAGAACGGATGTCCTTCATCTGCTGCCTGTCGGAGAAGCTCTTGGGCCAGGGACCTGGCGCAGGGTAGAAGGAGCGGGTGGGCGTGAGGCAGCGGATGTTCCGCACCTCCTCCGAGTCGCTCTCGCCACCGATGGGCCCTTCCCGCTTGCGGTGCGGTGGCCGCGAGTCATCGTCGCTCTCTTTCTTGCCCGCGTCGCTCTCAGCGTCGCTGTCGCGGGGGCTGCCACGGATGCCCAAGTGCGAGGCCAGGTCGTAGCGCTGCATGTTGGACATGAGCACGCGGTTCTCATACTGTAGCTGCATGACCTTGCCGCTGAGCTCGTTGATCTGCAGGCGTGCAGCCTTCAGCTCCTCCTGCAGGGCCTCCGTCTTGGCGCTGTCATGGTGTCGGGCACTGTCGTGGCTTCCAGACTTGTACTTGTACTTATTCAGTTCCGCAGTTATGCGCTTGTTCTGCTCCTCCAAGTCTGCCACGTTCCTCCGCAGCAGCTCCGTTTCGTCCTCCACCAGCTGCAGGTGCTGCCGCAACTCAGAAAGGGATTCACTCTGTTCCCTCATGAGAGGGTTGGACGACCCATTGAAGTCATCGCCCCTGAGGTCGTCCAGTTCAGCCTTCAGGCCTCTGTTCTCCACCTCCAGTTCAACGATTTTCCTGCCCAGGATGTTGGCCTCTTCCTCCACCAACCTCAGCCTAAGCTTGAGCTCCGCCTCCCTGGTACTAGGAGGACCCCCAGCTTCTCCTTTGGGTAAGGGACTGTCCAGATCTCCATAAAATGATCTGTACTTCTGCAGCTCATGTTCGAATCTGTCCTTTTCTTTATCGATCTTGGCCATTTTCTTTCTCATCAAAGCAGCTTCTTCTTTAACGAACTGCAGCTGGCATTTCAGATCTTCATTGTCCTCCTCATTTAGGGAAAAGAGGGAAAAGGATAAAAGATCATTTTTATGTAAATAAAGAAAACAAGAAAGGACACCTGCAAAAACAATTTTTTTTTTTTTTTGTAAATAAGACTTAATGGCACATAGAAGTAGATGCTGTGTGTTTTCTCCAAACCATTTACATTCTTTGTCCAGGGAAAGATTAGGATACTATTAGATCCTAGAAACACAAAGAAAGGAATATAAAACAAAACAAAACAAAAAGCTGGTCATCACTATTCGGAGATCATTATGTTGTAATGGCACACAATTGTTTGGTGGTCATTTAAGAATGTTCTTTTTGTTTATTTTTTATATGGTTGAATTTCCTTAACTGTAATAAATATGAAACCTATTTACGCTAAAGAACATAGTAAGTACGCACCTACTCACTTGCATTTATTAGGCAACTACTTTGATTCAGATACTGTAAAGTTCTTTACAAATAAGACCAATTTTATTACTCAAAATAAATTTCTTAGGTAGGCATTAAGATTCCTGGTTTAAAGATGTCTAGGGAGTTGTTCAAGGTTAAACAGCTAACAAGTGGGAAAGAAGATGAATTTTGAATTCAGTTGTTTGAAATTAGGGGTCATGATCACTCTGCCTTGCAGAAAACAATCTTTCCACCATCGTGATTTAAAGAATTATTTTAAAGTCAACTTCAGGGAAAAGTCTGACACCCGAAAGGTCCCTCCAAGGAGAATAGTGATGACCATTTACATCATTTTTAAAATAGGGTGCACTGCCACGAGTCTGAAATGGATAGAGTTGGTTCTACCTGTTGAAAGGATAATGCACTAGACCCTGTATAAAGTCCTCTCACACATTCTTATGACAACTATCAAAGCCTTGTCATTTAACTAAACTGAATAGTACTAAAGTAGAAATGGAAATCCACTTTTTCTGAGTTTTTGCAGAAGTGCATTATTATATATAAAAATGTTTCCCAAGGTTAATTGCCTAAAATTCTTCCAAATATGTACTCTGGGCTGTTTAACTTCTGTGGGCTTTGGTTTCCTTATTTTATACGTTTTATTTATTTACTTACTTATTTATTTGCAATGTTGGAGATCAAACCCAAGGTCTTGTACATGCTAGGCAAGCGCTCTACCACTGAGCTATCCCTCAGTCCTTCTCATTTTAAAGTGGGAATAAAAATGCCTTCCTTCCCAAGCACTCAGAGGCCCCTGTGTTTTGAGCTATATTCTGGTAAAGAACTAGAGGAAGATGAGGAGAAAAACGAGGTGCTTCCAGAGATGCTCAGTAAGTATGGCCAGACTCTTTGAGATGGAAGAGAAGGTGAACAGGGCACAGGTCTCCCACCGTCCTGTCTGCTAATGGGAGTGTAAAGTGGTAGGAGCTGCTGATCTGAAAGCCTGAATACCACATTCCTTCTGTCACTATATCTCCATGTCTGCCTCTTGTATAGAGGATTCCTAAGCCAGCAGAGCACAAGTTAGTAAGCATAAGCACAGTCTATATTCAGACTGATTAAAAAAAAAAAACATATTCCTTGCACTGCACATGCTGACTCTAGAAAAGAAGCACAAAAGAAAAATAGGATGAGGGGGCAAAATTAAAGAAAGCAGATGTATTGGTTTGTCTACTTTCCTTTACAAGGAGTTTAGGGGAAAGGATGGATCCACAGAGAGAAGAGGTGATGAAAGAACATCACCAGGGCATAGAGGAGGAAAAGAGGGTAAGCCACATAGAGCTTTGAAAAGAGAATCCATTTCAGAGGGGAGAGAATCTGTAAGAGAATGCCTTGAGATCAAGGACACATAACCAAGGTTAAGATCACATCAGCAGAGGAACCAATGGAAACTCTGAAGCTCTGAGCTTGGGTATCTTCAAGAAGAGAGGAGGGAGCTGGGCATGGTGGTGCATACCTGTAATTCCAGAGACTCAAGAGCTGAGGCAGGAGCATCTCAAGTTTGAGGCTAGTCTCAGCAACTTATCGAGACCCTATCTCAAAATGAAAAATAAAAAGGGTTGGGGATATAGTTCAGTGGTAAAGCATCCCCTGGGTTCAATCCCCAGTACTGGGGATGGGGGAAAATAGAAAGAGAAAAGGTGAGAGAGAGAGAGAGAGGTCGGGGGAGGGAGAGAGAAGAGCAGAGAAAAAGAGGAAAAGGGAAAATAATATATATGTAATGGTCATGCTTTAAAAAATGGATCAGATCAACTTTTACAATACCACTTTAAAGTTCTCTAATGAGAAAACACATTGTAATGTTTTTTTTTTTAAATACAGACATTAGTGCTATATATCCCAATTTACATGTTTAAAGTCAATATCCAGCTAAGTGTTTTTGGAGACCATAATGTCACTTCTGTCCCCAATATTTCCTATTCTGTTTTAAAATCTTCTTCATCATCACCTGCTCACCTTGGAAGCAGAGCTAGTCTTTACTGTGGCTGTGTTTCTAAAGTTCTTAACAAGCCCATAATGAGAACACCTTTTTTATTTTATTTTTATTCCTTTGTTTCCTTTCCTTTTGCTTCTCCTATCATTGGTTTAGAGAATTACTTCCTTCTTAGGTTCTCTAAAGACATCATAAGCCTCTCTCTTCCTTCTACCATCCTTTCCTACAGCACTGCATTTTTACTCTCCTGTTACTATAGGAACAGCCATTCCATTGGCCTTATTAATTATGAAAGAAAGAGATTAGCACCCTGCATACAGCTCTCAAATTCAGTAGCACATAAAAGACTAATGATACGTTGCTGTGTGCTTACAATGTAAAAGCAGTTATAATGGAGTTCTTACTGATGTTTTCTGAGCAAATGTATTGAATACTTTATGCCACCTGTGTCCACAGCTACATAACTGATATGCATAATGTGACTATGTTTTGCATAAGTCTACTTTGCCATTATGCCGATTTAAAAATATAGCTTATTACTATATACATTTACAGTTGCTTCATATGCAAGTTGAAATTTTATTTCCACATACCTCTGTGGGAGTCTGTTGAGCCTTTTTTTCAGATTTTGGCAAATCTTTGCTTCCTCTTCTTTTTAAGGATAACTGAAACAAAGCATGAATATGTTTAGTTTGGTAAACTATAATTTTTTAGTTAAACTAAAATCTTAATTCATTTTATTTTAAATGTTCTAATCTCATATGACAAAACCAAGACAAAAAGTTCAATCAATAACTATACAAGGAGAAAAAGTATCCAAAACAGATAGAGTAAGATATAGTTTTACTTTAAACTGAGATAAAGAAAACAGTAGAATGTACCTGGCAATTATCTGATTAATTTGATAAATATAGGAAGCTTACTGTAAAAATGCAGAAAAGAACTCAATTCAAAAATGTAGTTCAATGAGTCAATATGCTATATTGTTCTAATGAAGGCAAATGCTTGTTAATATTCCACATCACTAAAGAAAATTAAAGGGAGATTAAGTTATTATTTCCAGTGCTGGAGTTAAGTTGAAACAACCTTGCAAAGACAAATTTTCAGTGCATTTATGTAGGATTTAAAGACTCACATTCTTCACTCGACACACATCTATGCAAACAAGCATGAAACATACACATGTAATGTAATAGGGAGTGATATGGATGTGGTGAAATAAGAGGGCATGTTCCATCTTAGGGAGTAGGTGGACTGGAGCAGCTCCAGGATACAGGAATGTGAACTTTCTCAGGAAAATCTGGGAATTTTCATTGCTATGTAAAAATCTCCTACATTTTACTATCAGGTCCTAATTAAAATTCAACCAAGCACTAATAGGATACTAACTAGTCCCAAACTGTTTCATGGACCAGCAACAAATAATCTTTGATGCTCAGTTCTGTTTCTCACACCAATACAGCAAGTGCTGGTAAATGCCATGCATTAGGCTCTGTGAAGCAGAGACTTTTCCTTAGTGTAGTGTCACCTCCATTAGAATAATAATGCTTGCCACTTGGAAGACTGTAGAAACATACTTGCTGAACTAATGAGTAATATCAACTATGAAGTTCTGAAGTTAAAAAGAAGGATGACAGAAGTGGAGACTGACAGTAAAAGCAGAAATGGCTTCTCAGAATGGGAGACTTCATGAATTTGTAAAGAACTGAAATTATAATTCTTTACATGTCAATGTCTAACCCATGTCCACCATTAAATGAAGGAATATTGTTTTGATAAGTTTTTTTTTTTTTTGACGAAAAGACCAAGAAGAACAAATTTAGAAGAGGAAACGTTTATTTGGGGGCTCCCAGTGACAGAGGTCTTAAGACAGCTGGCTTCATTTCTTGGGGCCCGAGGAGAGGCAGAACATCATGGCAGAAGAGTGTGGCCGAGGAAAGCAGCTGGGGACATGGCATGCAGGAAGCAGAGAGAAACAGACTCCATCCACCAGGGACAAAATATATATCCCAAAGGCACAATCCCAATCATCTACCTCCTCCAGCTCCATCCTACCTGCTTTTGGTTACCACTTAGTTAATCCCTATCAGGGGATCAATTCACTGATTTGGTTAAGGCTCTCAAAACACAATCATTTCACCTCTAAACCTTCTTGAATTGTCTCACACATGAGCTTTTGGGGGACATCTAATATGGAAACCATAATACATACTTAGGCACAGATGGCAGGGAGAATAAGATATTGTTGCAACTGTTTTTATTCAGTATGCAGTGAAAGGACCCAGAGATAAGCAGTCTATGTGGTTATTCATTCTAGTTCTTTCCAGAAAGATGTTCTCTATGTTGCTTGTATAATATTTTTTTTAATAAATGAAACTTATCATATCTGAAAGTGATTTATGAATCAAATAGCAAAAACAATCCCAAGAATACTAAGAATATATTGAGCTGAAGAGGGAACCTGGAACACTCTAGGTAGTCTACTTATAAGAAACACTAAATTCATCTTACTAAATATTTTTAAGGGCTTTGATATTGAATTCATTTCATTATATGTGTATTTAGTAACAATTAATGCACTTCATAAGGTGCCTATGCCACAACAATAATAAAATGACATCTCAGTTCTCTTGGGGTTTCCAGATTCCTCAATATGGTCTGTTCAGTCTGCAACTCACTACTGTGGGACAAAAACAATGATAACATAAAGATGATAATTACTGGCATTGATTGAGCATTAATTCATGTCAAACACTTTACATACATTATCTTGACTAATTTTTAAAACAACCCTTTAAACTCCCTTTGCAGATGGTTAACCTAAACCTAATAAAGGTAGATAAATTATCTAAAGCAGGGGTTCTCAAAATGTGATCACCAGAAAGCATCATAATGTCAAAGTTGTTGGAAAAGACTTACCCCAGTGATCTATGACTTAAACCCTGTCAGTGATTCTGATGCCAATGTTCCCAYTGTCTAAAGTTACTGCTTGCTAAATAGCAGAATCAGACCTTCACCCAAGTCCTTCTGATCTCTGGAGATCAGAGGAGAAAGGCTTAATCCAGTCTGGGGYTGAAGACAGTTGGGTAACAAGTCATGATTTTCAGAATGAAGTAACAGCTTCATCTCAAATGTGGTAGATAAGTGGTAATGAAAGAGATAAAAGAAAAGGAACACAATATTTTGTGGAAAAAAGAAAAAAGAAGGAAGAGAAWGAGGAGAAGAGAAAMAGAGGAGGAAGAAGAGCAGGAGGAAGAGGAGAAGGAGGAGGAGAAGGAAGAAGAAGAAGGAGGAGGGGAAAGAAAATCTAGCACACAAAGAAAATCCAGTATAATTGAGACTTGCTGGTGTCAAAGGTCAAATTTTGAGGACATAAAATAAAGTTTGGATTTTATCTCATGCAACTGAATAACTGTTCTAAGGCTAACTAGGAGCAGTGATGGGTTTYAAACAAGGACCATCACAGACTGACATTGTTAAGATGACCAGAGGTGGTGGTGCACACCTATAATTCCAGCCATTCAAGAGGCTGAGGTAGTAGGATCACAAGCTCAAGGTCAGCCTCAGCAGATTAATAAGACCCTTAGTAACTCAGGGAGACCCTGTCTGAAAATAAAAAGGACTGAGGATGTAGCTCAATGGTAAAGCACTCCTGTTTCAATCTCCAGTACCCGAAACAACAACAACAAACAAAAAACCCAAAGATGAAGGTAGAAGTCCAGAAGATCATGAGAGAAAGGAATGACATTCAAGGGTTATGAGGGAAAGTACGATCAATTTCTGGGAACTTCGTCTTTGGTCATTGTGTTTCATCCACTCCACAGACATGTTGAGTTTCTGGCATAAACATGTACTGGAAGGTCAACCAATGCGACTAAGAAATATCTTACTCTCTCACTAAAGAGCTAACTATACGTGAAGACTAAAAAGGAGGAGGCACAATTAACTAAGAGCGACAATTAAACAACAAACAAAAGACTAAGAGAATAATGGGAGAAGTGAGGATTCCAGACTCAGGAAATCAGGGAAAATTATTCAAGAGGGCTGCTGCTGGAAGGACGTGTAAAATTTCAACAGACACAAAACTGAGTAAATAACAGCAGGAAAGATAAGGAGGAATGAGTGTGACTAAGAGATGCACCAACTTCTGAAGATAAGTAAAGAAGATAGAACCACTGTAGAGATGGGGGTAGAAGAAGATGCTGGAAAGACTGAGGTCAGCTTTGTGGGACTGAGAGATTTAGAGTTTAGCCTGTAGGCAATGTTAAAATGAGAACTCTGAATTAATACAGGAGGAATACTGCATTCTTTCCTAAGAGGTATTTTCTTCTTTACTTTTATTTAAGTACCATTCAAGTTGGGTGTTAAACTTGAATGAAGCTCTGAAAAGAGGTTTCCCTTGAATAAAGGTGCATTGTCTTAAGGTGTCTCAAGGACTGCTAAGGCCTCTAAGTGTCACATTCAAATTTCTAATAAATATTTAATCATCTTTTATTATTCCAATAAGTTTTTATTGACTTTCTGACTTCTATGAAACAAAGTTGTGAGATTTATAAGGTTAGAGAAAGAAAGTCTGAACAATCCCTTTCCTATAAGGAAAAAATTGTCATTTCCGCTGTTACCATCCTGCCTGACCTTTATCTTCTACATCTAGTGACCTCTAGGAGGGGAACATGTGGGAGGCTAGAACAAATCTCAGATTTTCATGCTTCTTGGCAAACCAGGCACTTCAAATGGTGATCCAGAAAAATGTGTTGAAAACATTTCTTGTCCCTTTCTTAATTCTTCACATTCCCAGCCTCAGATTATCCAAAAGAGAAGGCTGTTCTTTTTAGCAATGAGAAGGCCAGGAATTAGAGAGTTTTGACAATAATTATGTTTGCACAGCAATTACATAAAATGGATGGTTTGTGTTCTAAAAATGTTTTCAGATTGCCTTTCAATTGAAATCTGGTGCACTTACTAATAGGTAGCATTTTTAAGTCTTTAGTAATTAAACCTACCTAAAATGCTACCAAAAGGTATGTATATATGGACATGTATGACATGTGTATGTGCATAAAATCAGATTGATCCATTTGTATGGTGATTAAATCAAGAAGAATAGCTTATATTTAATATCTAGGACTTAAATATGTGCCATGACTTGGCTGAGTACTTTATTCATTTAATCTGAACACAGCCTTATGAGTTAGACATCATATTCTGAAGTACACAAAGGACAAAGAAGAAATCACCCAACTAGTAAGTGATTGAACCAGAACCCAGTTTCAGAACTCTGGCTCTGACAGCTACATTACGTTGTGGTTCCAAGGGGAGAACATTGTAAACTAGCAGACAGGGTTTTATTATTTCCGAGCATATCCTTTTCTATGCTCTCTGGGCATGGCCAAAGGTTGGGACACTAATTGACATATTCTACACATGTGTAACATGTCTTTGTATTTTCAACATAGGAGCCAGCAGAGGTGACATACAAACTTACTGCTTCTCATAGACAATTTGTCACATTAAGAGGGAGGCCCAGGGATATCTGACTGAAGGTTGGAGGAAAACTTAAAGACAGAGGACTCTGTCTCCACCAGGTCCAGGAGGGGCTCTATTCCCTGATATCTTTCTCCTTTCCTTCAGTTACATTCTTGACACTTAACCCAGAGAGACTGGT